CCCATCAGGAAAGTGAGGGCGATGACCTCAGCTACCTCCCTGGCTCACAGGATTCGGTGAGATGAAGCTGGCAAAGCCCTCGGCACACCCCCGGCACCTGGTCAGGCTGGCCAGGCGGCAGGTCCCCGCTCCAGGCATTTTATAGTCACAGAGATGGAGCCCCTGATTGGAGTCTCATTAGTATGTGCTCCACACTCTGAACTAAGTCCCCCCCTCCCCCCCGACTGTTTCACCCGTGTCCCAAAGCAGCTGGCTGTTCCTCAGAGAAACGAGTCCTTGGAGGTTTTTATATGGAAGATGAATGACATGACACAAATGAATTGCCCTCAACCTTGAGTTAAATGTCAGGTGTCTGTGCTTTGGGGCTGGAATTATTCCAAAGACCCAGAACACACCTGGCACATAATAGATGATCAACAAATATTTGTTGAGTAAACATTAATACTCTCCAAATGAAAGCCATTATCATAATCCCTAACAGTGTGTGGGAAAATGCTCCTGACATTTTAGCACAGGAGTCCAGGAACCTCTCACCACGCAGAGCTGGGGAGCCCAGGGCAGCCTCTCAGTGGCCCCATTATCCCCTCATCTCCAGACTTCCCCTCAGTGTGAGCACCCACTATTCTAAGCGTGGTAGACAGCAGGAGAGTGACCCAGGGCTGGGAGGAGGCTCTGTGCTGACCAGCAGCTACAGCACCCAGAATCTGCTTCACCCCACTTTCCCCACAGTCTTGGCTTCCCCTCTGCTGCATTATAAAGGCCTCCTGCTTGGAAAATCTGTTTTCTCACACACCCAAGTGGTGGGCTAGCAGAGCAGTTCCCAGCTTCAACCTGCTTTCCTGTAATAAAAAAAGCATGCCTCACCACTAGAGGGCGCAATTATCCCTACTTTCACCCGATTCCCACAGGAAAGAACAGTATTTTTAGATTTATGCTTCTCAGAAAAATTAATTTCAATGAAAATTCCACTGATTGTCCTCCTATTCCAAGTCATTCCTATCCGCTAGTTTAGGCTTCAGGTTTTTCTCCCTGTGACTTCAGAGTCCACCCCTGATCATAGGAGATGCTGCTCTGGGGCAGGTGGCTCAGACCATCAGCTTTACAGAATCTCACATGAGAGGATGTTAGAACCAGAGGGGACCTTCCTCATGCACTTCTTCCATCATCCTCTTTGAGCAAACAAGATTCAGAGAGGCTGGGTGACTTGTCAAGAGATGTACAGCCAGACAGGGACAAAATCCAGGCTGGAACCTGGGTCTCCTGATTCCTCCTTCCCTTTTGGAAATCTAATATTCCGAATTAAAAAACAAAAACAACAGTCCCCCCAAATTACTTAACCAGCATTTACTCTGAACCAGATATTATTCTGTACACGATCCTCATAATATCCATTTGTTTATTCAGCAAACATTTGCCATACATCAATGTGCCAGGCATATTTGACAAGGAATACTGTATAGTTAAGAACAAAAGAAATTGAGTTCCTGTTTCCACAGAGCTTACATTCTAGTGCGAACATGTGAGCACAGAGCTCTGTCATAGCAGAGCTTTGCGCTGGGGGAGAAAATCGCTTTGAGAATGTTTAGCAGAGTTTAATTCCACTTTGTGGAATGTTTAGTGTTGAGATAGATATTTCATTCTAGGGATATAGATGCCTCTAAATGCATAATACTGAAGACAGTCTAGACTTGATAGTAACTTATTTTATTTATCTCTTGTCCAGCAATTTGAGAGAGACCTCCGGCGCTATGCCACACACGAGCGGAAGATGATGCTGGATAACCATGCTCTGTACGACAAGACCAAGGTAAAGTTGATTCCCTGAGTTGGGCGACTTTGACCCTCCTCCCAAAGGCTGGGTCCCTGAGCACTTTTCCTGAACTGATTTGAGTGTCCAGTTTCCGTTTCCTTTGCCCAGAGTGTCCTGCTCCCACAGACCATACCTGAGGGCAGCTGGGAAGATCCTAATGGGAGCACAGCCTCCCACCTGGCCCAGAATGCACCTCAGGGGCACTGGGCTCAAAGATGATGAGCTCATGGGGTCCCCAGAACCAGTCCAGCAGTGACTATTCATTGAGTTTAGTATATCCTTGGTGTTTGTGATGAGTAACTCCAAAGAAAACCAAAGATCACAAATACCACTCAAGCACTCCTCAAATGCAGTAGGCAGTAGCATTGTGAGTGACCCCTTAGGTCATTAATGAGAGTCTACTGCAAGAAGGGAAGCATCAGAGCTGCCTTGAGAGGTTGCCGAGTGGTCAGTTAGGCCCACTCAGCAGCCATGTTACTCATTTGGCATGCTAGCCTGGCAATGTCACAATTCAAACTCACGCAGCAGCAAAATGATAAATTACTATATGTTATAAAGAGTTAAAAAAATGTTCAACTGTTAGTCCACAAGTGCTGAAGTCTACTGTTCGTACAGTGGTCAAGGACACTAAACTAAGCTCTGAGAGGAAAGGAGACATAAAATAACTGAAAGTAATCGTGTTTGCCCTCTAGTTTATAGTCTAAATAAGGTGTATTTAGTTAGAGCTTTCTTTGTTACAAGTGTCAGGAACCCAACCTAAAATCGCATGGGCACAAAAGAGGAATTTGGCTTAAATACTGCAGCATCCGGGTAATATTGACTTCAGGTGTGGCTGCATCCAGGAGCTCACACAGGTTTCCCTCAGTGCTGGTTTCATTCTTAGGCAGGGTTTTCCCATGAGTCCCATCCTTCCAGCTTAGCCACCCCAACAGAGAAGAGCCTCTTACCTAGTAGTTCCAGTAAGAGCCTGAGCTGATGCTCATTGGCCAGGCCTGGGCCCCGTGCCCATCCTGAATCCGTTACGGTGGCTCTGATTGGCCAGACTTGGATTGTGTGTCCCTTTTTGGAGGTGAGATCAGCCCCACCTGATCCTCGTGGACTGAGAGTGGGGGAGGGGGGTGTTCCCAAAGAAAAATCAAGGTGCTCTTGTCAGAAGAGAGGGCCATGGATGCTGGCAGGATGTTGAGCGTGTGCGTGGAGGCAGACTCACATAACCCTATTTAGGAACACTTGCAAATTGACATATAATAAATAGTTCAACATAATCGAGTGTCTCCTATGTATCCAACACTATGGGATGGAGGAGAAGTGGTGTTTGGTTTTAAAGAGGACAAGAGTGGAAGCCTGGTGGGGTAAGGGCAGGTGTGGAGGGCCAGGAGGAGAACGCAACACATAGGAGTACCCAATTCTTGTCACTCCTCGTTACCTATAGCAACAGTACTGAGTTCCAGCTGCACATTAGAATTACCCAGAAGTTTTAAATAGATTGATTGCAAGAACTCTTCTGATATTCTGATTTCATTAGACTGAGCTCAAGTTTCAATATATTTTTTTAAAACTTCTTCAGGTGGTTTTAATGAACAACGGTGGTTAAGAACCACAGGAAAAATACCAAGTGCCTTTAACTGAATATATGAGGCTGTCATATTTTACCTTAATTTGTTAAGTGCCATGTTTTGTCCTGGGAAAATATAAAAATTATAGAATTCAGTTAAAACGACTTTTAATGCTCTGAAGCAGGGAATTCTGTTTTTTGGCAATAATTCATTTTGTCAAGATAGTTTTACAAGTAACACTTGCTTTGTGTTAGCACTGTGATGCTGAACAAAAATATCTGAATGCCCATATTTCTTGTTATGCTTTCAGAGGATATTTCTCGAAGCAGAAAGTGAAGAAGACATTTTTGCACACCTGGGACTGGATTACATTGATCCATGGGAAAGAAATGCCTAGAAAATTTTGTTGACATTAAAAAAAAAAAGTTTCAGGTTAAATAAATATGCTTCATATTATAGTTAACGATGCCTTAGGAAAGTTGGGGATTTTTAAGTCTCACTGAAATGCAGATTGTTTCCAGCAGTAAATAGTTTTGGAAACATGATAAGGCATCACCTGGTAATGGGTTATGCTCTAATAGGCCATTTGTACTACCGTTGCTTAGAATTCACAATGCATTTTGCCATAGAAACAGTGTTGTAGTTGGTGGCTCCTTTCCAGGTTCCTCATCAAAGTCCACTTCCCCACAGTGTAGCTGAAATACTGTCTATTTCCAATAAAAATAGGAGGACACAAGATATTGAATCTTCTTCCTTTTTTTCACTCAACTATTAGAAAATACTGTAAAACAAAAATACAAAATGAAAGAATAAAGAGTTTAAGGCTTATCGCAAGGGGAGAAACAGGTTTCATTCGGCCAGACATTCCGAGGCCGGAATCATGGAGCAAGGAGGTCTGGAAGGGCAATGTCAGAGAGAATGGCTGATCGATCGAACAGTAAGAGGGTTGCCACCCGGAGGGGAAGATGGACATTACAGACTGGGGGCCGGGAGGCCAGGAAGCCTTCACAGAGGAGGAGGGATCCTAGTAGGCTTGAAGTAATGGGAGGATTTGGATCCACACCGTTTTTTGCTCTATAACGGAATTTCATCAATTAGGGTGGTGACTAGTTTGTGGAATTCAGATGTCCTCAGTGTCTTTGGCTTTGGGGGCAGCGCGCCCTCTGGTGGTGAACTGAAGAACCTTTGAAGGCAAGCACAACATGATCATGGGCTGCACCCTGTGGAGGACTGAACATCTCCATCACCAGCCAGCAGAGAGAGTGCCAGCACCACGAGTACCCCTGGGATAGCCTTAATTCCAACCCCAGAGCCAATGTCATACTTTAATATAGGTGGAGAAAGACCGCAGATGTGTCATAGGTCCATAAGAAGGACTGTTTCACTTTTCACTTTATTCCACAACTAGAGGCCCGGTGCATGAATTCGTGCATGGGTGGGGTCCAGCTGGACTGCCCTGATCAGGGCCAATCAGGCTGGGCCGGCCGACGGGAGGGACGTCCCCCCAATCGGGATGGGGGGGCGGGCCGATTGGGGGCAGGGCTGGCCAAGGGGAGGGGCCTTGGGTGGTTGGCCAGCTGGCCCCACCCCCAGGTTGAACTCCCAGTTGGTCCAACTCCCGCCCAAGGGGACAATTTGCATATTAGCCTTTTATTATATAGGATAAGTTTTTGTGCATTGTAGCAGAAAAAAATGATAGAAACATTGAACCTTGCTAGTTTAGTAGAAACAATTTGAATGAAAGATTCTAAGCAATGGATTGTAAGTGGAATTAAAATAAATGGTCCAAAATATGTCAGACCTCATATTATAGACAAAATGGCCAAAGTGACGGCACCCGGGGGATATAGAGTACAACTAAATTTCACAAGGGGCTTTGCAAAGCACAGTTGGCATGTGGCAGTGACTGAGTTTGTAGAATCCGTCCTTTGTTATTTGAAGAAGAGGGGAGACAGGATTCCTGGAAGCCTCCTCACAGAAGCGATGGCGAAGGCCTGGCCCGAGCCAGCTGACACTGCACAGCCTTCCCTCACACGCAGCCACATTGCTACTCAGCCCACCCCTTCGGCCCAGTGTTCATGTACTGAATCCTCTGGATCTCTCTTCTTGACCATGAGCTTTTCCCCATGATAGTCCAAGGACTTGGGCTTTTCTCTCTACTCCCACAAAATGGATATAGCCTCATTTCTAATAATCATTTAAAACACTATTTACCGTACACACACACATGCGCACATAGCCCATTGCAATTTGTCTTCCTTAAATATGTCTGATCACAGACACAGTGGGAGTAATGAATGGTCCAACCATGAGCTGCCTCTGTAGTCAAGGCATGTGTGCCTCCATCTGATTTCTACCCTGAGATATTCAGAAATAGGATCTGCTTTCCTTCATTACCCCCTTGAGATTCATTTTCATATCGTGCTGCATGCTGGCCTTGACGAACCCTCCCATAGAAGTCAGGTATAATGATTTTTTGAGAAATGGGATGTAAAAAAAAGGTGAGGAGGCAAGACACTCAGAAATCAAGCCCCTTTTCTAAAATCACACACACACACACACACACACACACACACACACACAATTCCCACTGGGGTCAGGAACAGGACCCAAGGGCTCCTTCTGGATGCACAGTGATCTCACTTGGTGGTTCGCTGCTTCTTAAACCACAAGATCTGAGAGCTGGAATGAACCTTGTCAGATCTGTCCTCAAAGAAACAAGCCAATCCAAAAGTTTTCCAGATCTGTCAATGAAATTGGATTGGTTAATGAAGCAGCTTAGCATCTCTCCTCACTCCACGCTCAGATCCCGGGTTTCCAGCTCCAATTCTGCTCTTTGAGCTTCATCATTCCAGGCTCAGTCTGGGCACAAGCCACCACAATCCCCTCCTTCTCTCCATCTCCACAGTAGGACGATAAGTGTCAGGCATGATCTCCTCACTTCCTGATACAGTCTTCACATATATGTGAGCTTCTTCTGCTCCCATCATATTCTTCTCACGTGTGGGTGGTCTCCTAGGATTCTTGAGAAAACAAACAGGTTTTTAAAAATACAGCAGAGACGTCTGCTACTGGCCAAGTTGGAGTAACAACAACCAGACGTACCCTCCCACCTACAAGAACCAAAATTCAGACAAACCATCTAAAACAATAGTTTGCTATTTGTTTTCTATTTCATGTGTCCATTGTTACTTTTTAAACCTTTTTTTCTGCCTTCTCCCATTTAGATTTTAGAAGTGCCTTATTAAGTTCCATGAAAAAAAGTCTGTTGGGATTTACATTGGAGTTACATTTATTATGTAGACCAATTTTAGGTTGTTTGACATCTTTGTGCTGTTGAGCTTCCCTATCCATGAGCATGGTATATAATTCCCATTATTTAGGTTTTATATATAATATCTTTCACTAAAGCTTTCTATTTCTCCTTAAAGGGGTTATATTCCTCACCATTCTATGTATATTTTATTGCCACTACAAAATGGTATTTAAAATTTTTTTATTTTTTATATTGTTATTGATTTTTAGAAATGAAAATTACTTTTGTATACTGATTTTGTATCCAGTAAACTTGTTAGAATTGCTTGATAATTCTAACAATTTATCTGTAAGTAATCATATCATCTGAAAATAATGTAAGTTTTGTTTCTTCTCTTTGAGTCTTATATGTCCTACTTCCTTTTCATATTCTACTGCATTGACTAGGACCATACAATATTGAATAGAAGTGGTAATAATGGGCATCCTTGGTTTGTTTCTGACCTTGAAAAGAAAGAATTCATTAATAATTTACCCTTAGGTATAATGTTTGATGTAATCTTTAAAAAAGGTATCTCCATTCCATTTAAGAACATTCCTATTCTATTTCTAGTTTGCTAAAGTTTCCACACCACAAATGGCTGTTAAAATTTTGTAGTTTCTTTTCCTATTGAGGTAGTCATATGATTTTTCTCTTTTAATTTGTCAGTAAAATACATTATATTACATTGATTTTCTAATACTAATTCAACCTTGAATTTCTGTCCAGCCAATAGAAGTACGGAGAAGCTCCTCTGTGTTTGAGTTTCACTTGGTCGTCTCTTTTCCACACGTGCTCATAACTGTACTTCTCCTGTGATGCAAAAGGCTTTAAAACCCTTGCTTCACCAGGTTTGTTTACTGTATGATGATATACAGTGATTACAACCAAGAGTTCTTACCTCAGCTATCTTGGGATTGTCATCAATTTCTGAAATTTCATATGGCCTCTCACTTTCCTAAGTTGGAAAGGAAGAAAGGAAGGAAGGAAGGAAGGAAGGAAGGAAGGAAGGAAGGCTGTTGGTTTTTTTTGTTTATTTGTTTTTGGTGCTGTTGTTTTTTTGAAAGTGTATAAGGCTGACTTCAGCACCAAGAAAACCTTTGATTTGGGAAGACAAGACAAAATAAAACATGATATGGAAGGGAAGGGAAGGGAAGGAAAGGGAAGGGAAGGGAAGGGAAGGGAAGGGAAGGGAAAGGAAGGGAAAGGAAGGGAAGAAAGAAAGAGTCACACCATTTGCCCATGACCTTGATTGTGGTACTTAAACTTAGGTGCACGTTACAATCACCAGAGAACTTTGAAAACAAAACAAAATAAGCAAATAGATAATAACTCTCCCCTTCCAAAGCACAAGTAAGAAATTCCATTGTGAGTTACTTCAAAAATAATCCAGGGTTGACAGTGTGGAAAAGTGGGTGGGAGTAAAGATGAAATATAATTTGCCAGGAATTGATAATTAGGTTTATCATATGATTATCTCTACTTCAGTATATGTTTAACCATATCCATAAATTTTAAAAAGTTGTGTTTTTTAAAGACCAGTGCCACAACTCTATTATCCCATGATACTGATTTAACTGGCCTTGGCGACTGGTATTTTTGTAGCCTCCTCGATGATTTTAAAATGCACTGAAGGTTGAGAAACTACCACTTAATTAATACCACCAGCAAGCACAATACTTCTGAATGGTTGAAGTTTACAGCTTGCCAACACATATTTACATCCGTGATCTCATTTGGTCCTTGCAAATTTACCTGCCTCTGAAAATAGGTAGGCTAGTTTTTATGACTCCTATTAAGTTGAACAAATCAAGGCACAGAAAAGGTTAAGTCACTAGTCCAGGGTCACGTAAGTGATCAAGTGGCAGAGCCAGGGTTGGAGCCTCGGTTTTCTACTTCTCTGTGAATGCTGACCTCGGTGAGAACACCAGGAATGTTCACAGAGGATGGAATTAGAACCCAGAGTCCACACGACATGGTTGTATACAACCTGGAACCTCGCTGGATATCGGCTAGGTGGCCTTTGCATTCTGAGCGTGGTGCCCAGAGCAACCTGGCATTCGGAAGGGGCAGGGTCGGTAGATTCCCTTGTGACTGAAGTGTGTTCAGTTGTGGAAAAGGGCAAAGACAATAGAGCCGCATACTCTGGACATACACCTGCCAGTGACACCTCAGCACCTGTTTCTCCTCTATCTTTCCTAACATTATCTCCTTTTTTATGAAGTTTGTGCCCTCTATTTCTCGACTTTATAAAACACATCCACTATACAGACACGTTACCATGGCAACAAAGTCCCTCCTCACTGCTTCTTTTTGCCACCCCAAATACCAACTTTGTGGCCACGGATTTCCTCACGGGAGCTGAGGTTGCATGACAAGCCAGCTCATGAGTCTGAGAAATCGAGATGCAGGAATGTCCATAGTCCTGTTTGCCCAAAAGCCAGTTCACTCAGATACTGATTCCTGCCAACACCTCCAGACCCAAGGACGCTGCTAATCACCTCAGTGGACTCACTGCTGCTGCTTCTTCTTCGGTGAATGAGAGTAAACAGTAAAGCTACCAGCAGGGCTGTGGCCACCAGAGACGGGATGCCTGCGGCTAATCCAATAGAAGGCCCACAGTCCTGACACAGAGAGGAAAGCAGAGTCAGATTCTCCAAGAATAAAGGAAAAGTTCAATCAATTAAAAGTAAGAGTCCTGGCTGATGTGGCTCAGTTGGTTGAGCATCATCCCATGTACCAAGAGGTCGCTGGTTCAATTCTCTATCAGGGCACATGCCTGGCTTATGGGCTCAATCCCCAGTAGGGGGCGTGCAGGAGGCAGCTTATCAATGCTTCTCTTTCTCTCTCTCTCAAATCAATAAAAACATATTTTAAAATAATAATAATAAGTAAAAAGCCTTCAGGGACCCTAAGTGTTATACAAAATCAAACAGATAATGAAATATTGTAAAAAATGTTTGCAATGTTCAGTACATGGCAAATGGCTCATTTTCATAGGATTTAATTTACATAGTTTAAGTCAATTAGAAAAAGGTGATAATCCAGTAGAAAAGTGACAAAGAATATGAACAGGACATTCTTAGAAACAGAAATACAAATGTTTCATTAACTGAGATATGATTCAAAGCAACAATTAGGTACCATTTTTATCTATCGGTTTGGCAAAAAGTGAAAGGTTTTATTATATCCCACACCATTTTGACGTGAATTTTTAAAATTTTGTTTACACTAAATGCATTAACCAATTAATGTTCAAATTCCCACTTTGTTTTGATCTGAGTGGAAATAGCCACATAAATTTTCAGATTCACAGATTTTCTGGAATTATCAAAGATAATCTTCAGCCCTAGTTGGTTTGGCTCAGTGGATAGAGCATCGGTCTGCAGACTAAAGGGTCCCAGATTTGATTCTGGTCAAGGACACATGCCGGGTTTTGGGCTCGATCCCCAGTAGGGGATGTGCAGGAGGCAGTTGATCAATGATTCTCTCTCATCATTGATGTTTCTATCTCCCTCTCCCTTCCTCTCTAAAAATCAATAAAAAAATATTTTTAAAAGATAATCTGCAGAATCTGTATAAATGTGTGATTCTCACATATAACATAAATTCAGAAAAGTATATCAATCATAATTATATAGATTGATGACTTTTCACATAAGGAACGCAGCACCCAGATGAAGAAACAGAACATTGCCAGCACCCAGAAGCCCCCCCTAGTAAGACTATCCTGAAATCTATCGCCATAGATTTGGCTGTTTTTCAGCACCATATAGATGCATATAGACCAGTGATGGCGAACCTAGACACACGTGTCAGAGGTGACACACGAACTCATGTTTTTGGTTGATTTTTCTTTGTTAAATGGCATTTAAATATATAAAATAAATATCAAAAATATAAGTCTTTGTTTTACTATGGTTGCAAATATCAAACAATTTCTATATGTGACATGGCACCAGAGTTAAGTTAGGGTTTTTCAAAATGCTGACACGCCGAGCTCAAAAGGTTCGCCATCACTGATATAGACAGTATGTACAATAAGTCCTCACTTAACATCCATAGGTTCCTGGAACGTGGTGAAAAAACAATAAATGAAATAGGTTTTACCATGGACTGATTAATAGAAACAAGAGTTCCGTTCCTACGGCATCTTGCCAATGCTATAATGAAACAGCGTTGAACAAAGCGTTCTTCCAGAACCTGCCAACTCTTTTGTGTCTAGCTTCTTTTGCTCAACACGTTGTGAAATCCATCTGTGATTTGCATCTCTCCCTCACTTCTGAGCTGAGTTGGTCATAAGAATAATAGTTGAGCCAGAGTCTGTGCTTGGTAACAGCTCACATATCAAATTCATTGACCCCTCCAAAGAAATGCACAAGCTGGGTACGGCATCATTTCCCCCGTTTTAAAAATGACCAAACCAAGGCTCCCAAATTTAAGTGGCATACTTACCACTTCTTTCCCACCTGTAACAACTGGAGAGGAAGTCTGTGTGGAAAAAGAACATCTATCTTAAGAAAACAAATGACTATTCTCTGTGGAATGAATATTATACAAAACAGTCTGTCTGTCAAATGTGAAGCTATCGTGCCTAAAATTCACCCCTTTGCTAAACGTTTTATTAAAACAATAGAAACAATGACTGCCAAACAGAACCTTACTTGACTGCTTTCCAGGTAGAAGAAATGAGATTCTTCTACAAGGAGACAGAATTCAGAAACTCGGGAGAAGTCTCTGTTATGTACCCCCGGGATTTGCCATGACACCCTTTACAACTCAACAAGGCTTTCGCCGGTCCCTAGTCCCGACTCCTTCCCAGCACACTTTGGGTTTCCTGTCCCCACTGCCAGAGGGAAAAGGTAAAGACTGGTGGAAGCTGGTGAAGGACACCTTATTGTTTTCAAACATGCAGTGAAGCAAGTGGCTGTGGGGGGTCTGAAATTGTGGCCTGTCCATGTTTCTGGGTAATGCCACACTCGATCAATACTTTGCATGTTTCCGGTTCACATCTCCACTGAAGGAGAGACACTGGATCTCCCCTTTTTATCAGCTGTTTCAGGTGATAGTCTTACCTGGATCAATAACTCTAGGGAACCAGATCTACATGAGCAACCAGCCGCTGTCAACTATGCTGAGTGGTCCAGTGTGGGGTTAAGAGTCAGGTCCTGGGCTCTCTACCTGGAGGGGAATGGCAATGTCTCCACTCACAGGCTAAGGGGTCAGATTTCTTTATCTGTAAAATAGGATGTTAGTACCTACCTCCAGGGGTGTAATAAGCACCAGGAGAATAAGCCTTTGTCATTCTTTGAAACTCAGCAAAGCTCTAGTCAGACCTGTTATTTACTTAATATTCTCATCAACCTCATTAATATCTTGTTGTCTCTGGGATTGAGGCTTTCACAATTTTTATCTCTATTTCACACAAAAAATGAACTAGATCTCAGAGACGTCATAGGATTTTGTCTAGGGTTCCACAGATCCTCGTAAATCTAACCTGAACTTGGGTGGTTGAATTCCATGCCTAGGGCTCTTGCCCTGAGAGTTCCCACCAAAGGAGCAATGTGATAAAGGAGGTGTTGACATTTGTACTTAAATGGTTGCAGTGCTACCTGAACACAATCTCCCCGCTCCCCCGTCTTACCTTAATACTGCATTTGCCTAAAGTGTTTTATTTCTCTGGGTTGTGGTAAGAGTTGAATATAATTTCAGGTAAGCTGTTCTATTTTCAGGTTACAGAAATTCACTTCGGCTGGCTTTGACCCCCCCAAAGGATTTAGGGGTGCTTTGTGGAGCCCCAAAGCAGCGGGAGTCTGGCTCCTCCAGAAACCAGAGCTGGAGTCTGGGAGTTTGTCAGGACCAAAGCCATCCCTCCTGGGACCTTTCCATCTCTCCCGGACACGTAGCCTTTCACATGGGCTCTTCTTTATCTGCTTCCTTCTTCTCACTGAAGATGAGTTTTTCTGCATGGTCTGGCCCTGAGCCAGTGATGGCGAACCTATGACACGCGTGTCAGAGGTGACACGCGAACTCATGTTTTTGGTTGATTTTTCTTTGTTAAATGGCATTTAAATATATAAAATAAATATCAAAAATATATGTCTGTTTTACTATGGTTGCTAATATCAAAAAATTTCTATATGTGACACGGCACCAGAGTTCAGTTAGGGTTTTTCAAAATGCTGACACGCCGAACTCAAAAGGTTCACCATCACTGCCTAAGCCAAGCTCTTAACCGCTGTGTTACACTGCCTTCCCTGACCCAATGCTGCACCCCAACTCAGTTTTTGCACTTGACAGTTCAGTATGGCCCAACAGGGACCACTTGCCTCTGTGGCCATGTTCCCAACTCCCTGCAGAGGCTCTGATGAGCCAGGTATCCACTTCTGCCCCTTCCCAGGGCACTGGCACTCAGCTGCACCAAAGGGAGGGGTCATATGGTAAAGACTTAACCGCGAGGGAGGTTGCCTAGGTTGCAGCACAGTGGCACTCAGCTGCACCAAAGGGAGGGGTCATATGGTAGAGACTTAACTGCGAGGTAGGGTGACCAACCGTCCTGGTTTTCCAGGGAGGTTGCCTAGGTTGCAGCACAATTGGCGTTAAAAGCAGACGGTCCCAGGCAGATCAGGATGGTGGGCCACCCTACACAGGTTCATAGGGAGAGGGGACAGTTCCCAGAGAAATGGCTGTTAACCAAGAAGGCACTCCAGAAGGTGACGACCAGCTTCACAAGGACCTCTCCTCGCCCACTCCCCTCTCCCCTTCCCCCGCAAAGCAATGGCTTCTTGCTCCTCTGAGTTACCTTCACAGGGTGGCCATGCCGGGATAAGACAAAACCTGGGGTCGCTACAGACCTGCTGAGCCTAAGCAGCTCGGGAGGAAGTTCCAGCCGGGACCATCTTAACAGGCTTTGACAGCTCAGGAGAGGGAGGGGCATTTGTCTGTCAACAACAGGCAGAGGCTGAAGCAGGGAGCCCAGCAAGTCAGGGAGGCTCAGAAGGCAGGGCGCCACCAGGAGGGTGCAGCAGGTGCCAAGGGAGTCTGGGCAGATGCCCAGGGCAGCCAGCAGGGGCCCCCGGAGGCCGGCAGTGAGTGACAAGGCCCTACCTTCCCGCTGCTCTCCAGGACCGGGCCCTCGTGTTACAGGAGACTTGAACCCTGGCTCAGGTGTCCGCGCATGAGGTAGATCCAGTTTATTCTCTTCGAATAACCATACAACTTAAGCGGAAACATTTGGCACAGTGAAACCCACTCGAAAACCGGGCCAGGAAACCGCCTAGCTCCACCACAGCAGCACTACTGGTCAGAAACAACCCTGGATGTTTTTTCTTTTCAAACGGTGTATTTACAATGTTCAGCCTTGAAAAAATGTCAGCAGCCCCCAGCTCCTGATTGGGCCTTTGAAGAGCCAAGTGCCTGCAGGTGAGGTGTATGCGCTGGTGCTCCGGAGGCCTTGGGAGGGTCTGCGGTGGCGCCTGGTGCATGGGGCTGCTAGACTTACCGTGTTGGCCGGCAGCGTGAAGTTCAGCGAAAAACTCTGCAAAAGAGAAGGAAACACTAAAGCTCTCGCGAATGGCCAGCCAGGCTCCCGACCTCTCCACCAGTCACTGACCCTGCGATTCTAAGAGCACTTACTGGCCAGATAGTGTCAGTCGGCTCGTGTCCTCTCCCAATCTCAGCCCACAAAGAGGGCAGGGGAGCAGATGAGCCTGAGCATCAAGTCAGTCCTCAGCCAGGGCCAGACCAAGGGGCCAGCCTGCAGGACTATTGCCTGGGGGACCCCAACCCAGGAGGCCAGTAAAAACATTACTAGAAATTCAGCAAAGTGCTGAAAATGGTCCTCCTCACCCCAGAATTGTCCTCAGGGAGGGACTGTGAGCGTTTAGAAGCACTTGGCACTTGCTGCTTGGGTTAGGAAGTAAGACCTCTCCAGGTCCAGCTCCGACCGGAACACCTGCTCCCCAGGTCAGAGCCTGAGAAGGACAAGGCTTCCGTGTTTGATGAGTCCAAGGCAGAGGTTCCAGGCTGGGGGCTGAGCGGGTCAGGACCACAGAGGAGAAGCCAACCCTTCTCTCCCCTCCTCTCACTCAGCACCCAGCTGCCCCTCTCCCCCTAATATGGAGTCAATGGTTTTGAGGACCACAGAGGAGAAGCCAACCCTTCTCTCCCCTCCCCTCACTCAGCACCCAGCTGCCCCCTCCCCCTAATATGGAGTCAATGGTTTTGTTTCTTTATGTATTTATTGATTTTAGATAGTTAATTTTAGAGAGGGAGAGGGAGAAAGAGATAGAAATATCAATGATGAGAGAGAATCATTGATCGGCTGCCCCCCGTATGCCCCCCACTGGGGGTCAAGCCCACAACCCGGGCATGTGCCCTGACCAGGAATCGAACTGTGACCTCCTGGTTCATAGGTCAATGCTCAACCACTGAGCCACGCCGGCTGGGCTGGAGTCAATGTTTAAAGTTCATGGGCTCAATGGGGCACCAAATTGTTCACCTGCCCAGGTGCCCACTTATCTGGGTCAGGTCCTGCCAAGGGCTCCACTGGCCCTTCCTCCTCCCATCTTCATCTTCTGTCACCATCGTTTGGCTCATCAATGTCAGTCTTTCCAGGCTACTCTTTACCGAGACTAAGATAGACATTATTCTAGGACATTAGAGCAAGAGGGTCATCTGGGCCACCACAGGTCAGAGTCTTCTTCCTCAAGGGACCTAACCAATGCCCTTGGTTGCTAGCACCAACCAAGCCCACGGATGCTGCAAGGACACTTGCTGGTCACTGCACGGAACACAGCTGCCCAGAGCCTTATCTCACCGGTGAGTACTGGGCACTGACGTCAGCAGGCCCAAGACAAAGCTTCCTTTGGGTGGACAGCAGACGGGAGGAGCAGCAACAAGTGAGCCATTGCATGTGCTGTTTATCAATATTTGGATGACGAAGGTTTTGGCCAATGTCAGAAAGACGTCTATGTTTTGTAGAAACACACTACAGTGCTCTCACGGAGAGAAAAACATCACGTAAAGTTGGGTGGAGAAGAATCTGACGCAGTGTTCTTTAAAGAGGCAGCTGGGTGGGGTGAGGCAACCCTCCTCTGGATCCGAGTCCAGACTCAGCCACTTAGAAGCTGTGTGGCCTTGGAAAAGTGATTCAGACTCTCTGGTCTCCATTTCCTCACACAGATCCCCCAGGCTCAGGTTTTCCATCCTCAGAATGGGGACACGATCAACGTGCCCTGCCCACCTTACAGGATAAGTCCACAGGAAATGACACTGGGGGCAGCTCCACCCAAACTGTAAAGCACTGCAGGTGTGTGCGGGTCCACGAGGTGCCATACTCTTCATGGCTCGGCACAGAGCAAGGCACAGGGCAAGCACTTGGGAAGTTCTTTTTGGATGGAATCACATACATACGTCAGCAATATTCAAAGTACTCGAATTTGGTCTAATACCCTTGTTGCTAAAACACGCTTATTGTAAGTCTAAGCACATTATGATGTCGACATGATGGTTCTGAAGGCTCTTTAGGATCTCAGCGGCCGAGTGGCACTTGTTCTGGTAAGTTTGCTGTTGGTGAGGGGAAGTAGAGAGAGTCGGGTAATTACTCCCTGTTATTGAGGGTGTGCTGAGTGCCAGATGCTGCGCTCACCACCTCCCCGTGAAGGGCCTGCTCTCATTCCCACATCACAGGTGAGAACTGAGACCAAAATAGGTTCCTGAGTGTCACCAGCTGGTAAGTGGTTGGGGCTGGGTTGGATTGTAGATCCTCCTAACTCCAAAGCCCAAATTCCACTCCTTTCAATTATCTCTTTAATAAAGAATCACAGAAGCCTCTTCTGTTTTCCCTTTTAACTTAGTAAACCTCATTTGAGTCACAACCAAATATGTATCACAAGTCAATAAAAAAGGTGGAAAGTTTCTGATGCAACGTAGGAATATCTATATTGCTGACTGAACAATAAGGGATAAAGGCATTGATCAGACCCATTACTTCACCTGGGAAGTGAATTTAGCTGAAACATCTTTGTACCCTTGCCGTATGTGAGGTGTTATAAACAGAACCTTAATATTTAAATAAAAGATGAATCCGGCAAATATTTGATGAGAACTTTACAAAAATGATTAGTATTTTGCACATAGAAAAGTAATTTCAAACCAAGCCCCTTGACTTCATTGTACCACAGAAACAATTCTATTAGCATTAGAGAGGTGAGAGTTAAAGGCCTGGGAATTGTTTGTATTCAGAGAGAATGAAGGTTAGGCTGAGAGAAAGACGCTAGCTGTACTTACCATCCCGACAGCCTCCCAAGAACCTTCTCCAAACACTGTCCTCCGCAGGCTCCTTTCTCTCTAGAGCTCTTGGCTTGTGTCTCGCATTTGCAGGGACATCCAACTGGGAGAGCAAGGGTGACAGGGCTAGAGGTGGCTCCAAGAGAGCGCTGGCCGAGCCATTTATGGTCAGGGGAGTAGCCGAGTCCTCGGCCCATCCCTCGAGGAAGATGGTCTCCTGCTCCATAGCCACTGCGTATCCAGGCTCCACAGAGAGGCCAGGTGATCTTTGTCAACATCCATTATCTCAGACTCCCGTTCCACCCTCTCTGCCTGTATTTCTTGTCCTTCTTACTTTTCAGGCCCCTTCCTCCGTTACACTTCCAACTCAGCAAAGAACCCACAGCTGGCCCGAGAGCTCAGAGGCCCCTGCAGCTGGAAACTCTTTAGAAACAATGGGTCCCACAAGCCGAGGCGGGCCCAGCTGCTAGCCATCGGCATCCCAGCGAGGATGGAGTCAACACGGCACCAGCATCACCGTGGAGGATGCCTGGGAGATGGGGGCTGGGACCTGCTCTGTATGTGAGGCAGGACTGTGGCTGCCGCAGCAAACACACACCTGCCTGGTGGAGGTTAGCCTCACCCCTTTCTGTTCGCCCACGTTGAATGGGGCCTCTCCTAGAGCTGGAGGGGGCTGTTGACACGGGCTGCTTTTTATTTCTTCTGAGTTCTCTGTTAGGAGTTTGCTTCTTTAAAATAGTGAAGGGGTTGGAGTGCCATGTCAACCAAACAACGGAATTAAGACCAGTAAGTTTGACCATTTAAATAAGTGAGTTTCTTAATTTGTTTAACAAATATTTTTTGCACCTTCTACCTGTTGAGTATTATTTGGGCACTGCTCTCAGAATTGGTGAAAAAGACGAAGGAGGCCCCAGCTCGTAGGGAATGTACATTCCAGCGAGGGCAGGAATCACGGTGGAGGAGCAGCTGGGGTGGACGGGAACAGCGAGCAGAGTGACCCAGAGGCCGCTGAGATGACATTTACGTTGCATGTGAAAGAGGAGAAGAGGGTCCCAGGCAGAGGGGACAGCAAAGGCAAAACCCTGGGGCTGAAGCAGTCTGGCACCCTCACACACTGGACAGTGTCCAGCGTACCTGGAGCAACAGCAACCAGGGAGTGACCTCAGAAGGAGTTAAAGACTGAGTTAGAGACCTATGGTGTGAGCCGGCAGGGCAGGTAAGATTTATACTGTAGAGCACTGGTTCTCAACCTTGGCTGCACATTAGAATCACCTGGGAATCTTTTTAAAATCCTGATTTCTGGGCCTCATCCTCCGGAAATTATGTTTCTTTGTTATAGGGTGAGGCCACAACATTAGTAACAAAGAAAAAGAACTTCCGGAGGATGAGGCCCAGAAATCAGGATTTTAAAAAGATTCCCAGGTGATTCTAATGTGCAGCCAAGATTGAGAACCAGTACTGTAGAGCAATGGGAAGCCTGGCCAGGGTTTTCAGAGGGACGGGAGCCTGAGCTAATTGATGTTAACAAAGATCATCTGGCCTCTCTGGAGCCTGATTACAGGGGACAAGAGTGTTACTGCAGACACTGGTTCGCAGTCCAGTGAAGGACGATGGTGGCTGCCCTGGGTTGGGGCAGTGGGAATGGAGAGCAGTTAATGAGTTAGTGACTCATTGTGGAGGCACTGGCAATGAGAT